ATTTAGATCGTTATACCATTTAAAAAAAATACTTTTCAAGTCATTCGAGGACAGTGTGGGTTTTCAAGCTGTTTCAAAGTTGCTCAAGTACATCAAATAAATGTAAAAGTCTGATTAAAGAGAGGAAACAGGTGCATTTCTCATAAAGAATTTCAAATGATGCTCTTCCTCAAAAAAAAAAGAAATGGTTTGAAGATTGCTCATTCTGATCGCTACCTGCTCTCAACATCACTGTGGACTCAATTTAGAATTTGGCAATGAAATCACAAGCGCATATTAAAATGGAGAGAAGTGCTTCACAGCTTGAATCAAAATGCTGAAAAAGTTTACATCTTTTGTCAGCCTTTTTTGTAAAAAAAAAAAAAAAATGCCCACATTAAATCCTTCTAGTGTCACTTTGACACAATAACTGGTGGCATCATGGTGAATTATAATAAAATCATTTTAAATTCAAACCATGAATGAGGCATTGTGGAATTGGAGCTTCTGTCAGGGTGCTTGTGGGTTGTCAGCTCTCTGTGTAAATCAAGTAGGTTTACATTCTGTGGTCAACGTGACCGGCAACATCGTGAGTTTGCAACATTTGTAGAAGTCTGCAGTTTGTACTACAAAATAGTACAATAACATGCAATAAGCGAAATGAGCATTGTCAGAAATCTTTGTAGCTGACAGACCTGATGGATCAGAGGTCTGTGAAGAGTGGTGGTCGCAGTGACAGATGTTGGGGCTGGGCAGCCCTGTCGGATGATTGTGCTGGAAGACACCTGTCTGCTGATGATGGTGTTTCCAGGAGCCTGAGAGGTGCCACGAAGGAAAAACATGATGAGCAACACGCACTTTCATCCCAGCAGAAAAGACATATATTACATCTAAATTCAAAATCTATTAGTTTTATAATTTTGCAAACAAACAAATAAATAAATAAATAAGACAAATAACATAACACTGATAGACAACCATGCTGTTTTCCATACTTAAGTTATGCAATCTAACACTCTGATCAACAGGTGCTTCCCTGAACTGTAGACACCCTAACACAAGCCACAATACTTAGAGTGAGACATAATTGTTGCAGATCTAAAGCTCTTCCTGGGCAATCTTGGAGATCTTACCTGGCTTGGAGGCACATTTGTGGGTGTAGCAGTCCGAGGTGCCATGCCTCCCTGCGCCTGGGCCTGGGCCTGGGCCTGGGCCTGCATCTGGGCCAGAGCCTGTTGAGGAATCATCAGCAGCTGTCCACTCTCACTGCGTACAAGCACCATCCCTGAAGCAAGACAGAAAATACACGATTGCTTGAATATGATTAAAGACACTGTAAGAGACAACTTTAAAATCAATGTACTACCTCAATAAAATGCTGGGAATAAGCAACGTCAAAACCAGTCTTCATAAATACAGTACACAGCTGAGCCACCATGTAAACACAATTAAATCGGGTTCACCTCGCACAACATATTGGAAGTTAAGTGTTATTTAACCCTCCTATTACCTTCAAATTTACTAACATCTTTTATCCTTGGGTTTAATGTGACCCCAGCTATTTAAACCTCCAGAAAATATCACAATTAAAATTGTCCTCCAAGTGTATGTGTAAATAGCCCTTTAAATAAAACTGAAAAAATATGTCAATGATTTATTTAGAGATTTTAAACACTGAACGGGGTCAAATTGACCCCAAAGATGATAGGAGGGTTAAAGATTTGGATGTGCACTTTCAATGCGCTATGTACTGCATGAATATTAAACTATATAATTATTCAGTTAGAGATGCAAATAAAGCGAAACAAAAATGGTTGATCAGTGAAAGTTGTGAGTCCACTCACCCGGGGGGAGCTGGATGTTGTGAACACTGGGCTGTCCCGGGGAGGTCTGGGGGAGCCTGGGGGCCAACATCTGAGGCGTCAGGGCTCTGATCCCTCCAGCACCGGCGGCTACAGACACAGGAGTCCGGGGGGCGCTGACGGCTCCGGGAGAGACGGCTGCAGCAGGCTGCGGTGCTGACTGTATTATTGTTGCGGGTGGCTCTGCCTTGATGATGTGCGATCCTGCGCTGACTGACACGGAGTTGGACGGCTGGCTGTTGTTTACAAGCGGAGTCTGAGCGCCGACACCTGCGCTCGCGCTGACAGCAACACCGGGGCTCGCGGTATTGTTCCCATTCAAAGTTGCACCCGACCCGGCGGTTTGCACAGGCGGCCTGACGAGCGCCACGGTGGCTCCCGTCGTCTGAGCCGAAGTCACAACACTCGTCTGGATGACGCTGTTGGACGAGGGGGGCACCGTGGCCGCGGGCAGCCCTTTGGACAACACTGGTCCACTGTTGACAGCGGTGACAGACGTCGCGGGGCTGCTGCTGTTACTAGAGCCGCTTGTCACTGTCGTCTCCCCAGCGCTTCCTGAATTGTGAGAGTTCATAGTTTGGCTCCCATTGAAAGTCTGCACTGAGTGTGAGCCGACTTTCCCCTGGTGATTAGGGAGAAAAGTTGCACCGCCGCTAACAACAAGTGTTTTGCTGCCAGGGTCGTGTCCCGTAGCGGAGTCCGTGCTGGCCGTCGACGCGTCCATAGCTGAACCATGGGGAGCTCGTTACTGTAGAGACCCCCCGCACTTCAACTTGTTTAACAAGGAGCACAAACAATCTTAAGTGTGATGGGGCAAAACTACGGCACATCTACTACTTGTCTGTGTCAGCTCCGGCGCTTGTTTTTTTCGTGTACACTCGGAGAGACAAAGAGGAAAACAACATTAGTAGTTACAGCGTACCTGCTTCAGCAATCGTCTTGACCAAGTCCCAGCTGGACATTAGCTCGAGCTACCCCCTTGTCCCGGAACTATAGCCATGTAATTACCGGCTGCCTGGTGCCTACCCCAGTGGTTGTTGTGACACAAGAACGACAGTTGTGAGTCTACAGACCGTAAAGGATGACAAACTACCGCTTTATTCAGCCCTGTGTGTAAAAACAGCTCATCCAGCGGGCCGGAGCCAACCGCCATCTTCACACTCCTGCGAGCTTCTGTACAGCGGGGTACTTACCAACTGACATGCGCCTGCGCACAGCGGCTCAACGTCTCCGAGCAGGAGCCACCGAACGCTGTGATTGGCTGCCGCGCATCGTAAAAGGCGGAACCAATGGCTTCAGCTGTCATTCCAGGGGATGCATGAGGCGGAACAACATCGTACTGGAGGCGAAAATGTTTTCATCAAACGCTACTTCGACGCCGGGGTGTATGCGATAGCACGACAGCTATTCCGTCTCAGAATCCCACAATGTGACGTTTGGTGGAACAATAACGTGGTTTGCGACGAGCTAACAAACCCAATTTCGGGGTTTATTCGCGCTCGGTGCGCTGTGCAAGATGGCTGCAGTGGTAAAGCCGAGTGAAGTAGCTGTTAAGAGGCGTTTGAGGGCGCCCCACCCTGCTGCACGGAGGAAATGTCCCGAGCTGTCAGCCTGCCACGGGATTTAGTGCGGTTAAACCCCCACGTGTGCTGCCTATTATGAACACACAAGGCAAAAGCAAACTTAATGCGGTTAAATAAAGGTCTGAATGTGGTGTGGTTTTCATTCAAATTCAAATCGTGCTGTCTATGAAGCGCCCTGCAGCTGGAGACACCGCCTGAATGTCTTCAGTTGAAAATGTAGAATAACTTCTGCCTGTCAGAAAATGGGACATCCTGTTCACATTCATTGTTTTCTGTATTAGTGGATCAGTGTTCAGGATTCAGGAAAAAGGACTTTGTTGAGTCTTTATTAACGTGTTAATTAGGGGCAAAAACTGAGTTCTGATCAACATTGTTGCCTGGATTTAAATCCTTCATCTCTTTTCGCACCTAGAGAAGTCTCTGTTTTAATCTTTTTTTAAATAGTTTGACTTGTGAGGCCATATTTAGGGTTCAATGTGTCCAGTAACATAACTCACAGAGCCATGACATTTGATGAAACAGACAAAAATGTTTTCAACACATTCAGCTGATCAAATGGCTCCAACAAAGGCCACATCTTTTAATTATTCACCATTAAAAGTGGGGGGAAACATATACAAAATTTAAAATGAGCATGGCATCGGCCCCAAAAAGTTCCCTAAAGTCGATATATGGATGGATGGATCCATATTTTCTACTAAAAATACACTATTTGGTCGATATTTCAGCTACTTTTGAGGCCTTTCATGATGGGTAGCCAGTACTTTGAGTCTTTTATTGCAGCTATGACATGCCAAAATGATGATGTGGACTCATTCTAAGGACCACAAAAACTAGTGTGCATAGGAGTCTAGTTATTGTCATTATATGTACAAAGAATATAAAGAAATCTGCAGACAGAATTTTGCCCAAAAATGAAAAGAAAAAATGATAAACTATTACATTTGAAAACAAATGGTAAAGAGAGACACGGAAAAAAGAAAAGAAAAAAAGGAAATCGATATTGAATTGACAAAATTTTTTTTGTATTTTAAAAATTGAAAGTAGTTCAAATGAATTGAATTTTGAATTTTGTTGTCCAATTTTTTAAAATTATTATTATTATTTATTTGTATTTTTTTTTTTAGCAAATCTGGGTTGATTTGACATTATATGGAACAAATTAGCCAAATAGTGTATTTTCTTGTTTCTCCTGATTTAATTTGGACAAAGTTCTACTTAATACATGCTGGTGAGTGTAATTCATCAGAAATGGTTCAACATTGTGAATCAGAGTAAGTTTATCGAACTCTTGCTGGGATTACTTGACAGCCTGTTCTGGTGGGATGTTTGCGTTAATAACAGGCTGCAGACTCCACAGACCTGCTCCTGTCTCTTACTTTTGGTGTACGCGGACCCACTAAACGAACCAACCCCGTTTTACGCGCAGCTGAACCGTCCAGCTGCTAAGAGCTGCGTCACCGCCAGTCTTATAAAGCGCACAGGTGCCCGCTAATTGCGCACATTGCTGATCAGTCTGTGTGCCGTGGGTTACTGCTCTGTAATTTAGCTGCTGCTCAAGCTCAAGGCTGCAAACATGAGTGCTGGAGGAGGAACTCCTTATATTGGCAGTAAAATAAGTCTGATATCCAAGGCACAGATTCGTTATGAGGGAATTCTGTCTTCTGTCGACACAGACAGGTCCACGGTGGCTTTGGCTAAAGGTAGGTTGGTGCTGTGGAGAATGTGTCTGTTTTTTTCCTCCTAATTATCTCTCTAAGTTTTGAACAAATTTCTAAATTAACTTTGTATTTCACCAGTTAAATCCTATGGCACAGAGGACCGCCACACAGACAGACCAGTTCCACCCAAAGATGAAATTTATGAATATATCATCTTCAGAGGAAGTGACATCAAAGATATTACTGTGTCTGAGCCTCCAAAGCCACACCATGGTCTGCCTCGAGACCCTGCCATTGTTCAGGTACTATGTGTGTGTAAAAGGAAATTTGTTTGATTCAATCTTTCGTCATTCTAGAAGCATTTGGCATGAATAGAATATTAAGCGATTACTAAAACAAAGTTCTTTTCATTGTTGCAATCGTAGTCATCCATTGGCAGCTCCTCTTCTGCGTATCACCCACGCTGGAGTCCTTACAGGGACATGATGCCCACCTACAACCAGCTGGCTGCTAGTTCTCTACTCAACCAGCAGTACAATGCAGCACTGGGCCTCGGTATGAATAATTATCTGCAGGAGACGGCTCCGTAATGTCACATTCTGACTTTCTCAAGCCTCACCGTGTTTGTTCCTGTTCCCTCAGTGCCAGGACTTCACGGCCAGGCCAGAAGAGCCCCCATGGTGGAGCAGGCCGTCCAGACCGTGCCTCTGGCCGGCGCCGCACAGAAAAAGGGGAAGGCCTCAACCCAGCCTCAGAGCAGACAGCCCGTCCGACCCAACCAGCGCTCTGGTCGAGACGGCTCCCAGGTTCAGAAGGAGAATGTACCCACCCGTAAGCAGACTTCACAGCAGTTTTTATTTTTTTGTTTTTAATCTCAAATAAACAAGAAACCTCACAGTTAACTTGTGTTTTAGGCAGAGCATCATCTCAGCAAAGTGCAGCCAAGGTTCAAGGCCAAGGCACTGAAAACCAGAAACAAAGGCAAAAACAAGGTAACAATAAGAAGAAAAGATGTACATTATAAACCAGTTTTCATTAACAGAATGTGGTTGGCCTTGACTGTTTGACAGGTTTCTGAGGAAGGCAGAAGTAATTTTGTTCAAGTAAACAAACTTTGGTCATTTTGTCCTTAAGCAACGGATGACGTAACAAACGGTCCTGGACTAGCTGAGCCTGCTCTTAACGGTGACTAAACCAGTTTGACAGTGGTGTTTGTCATACTTGGAGGTCTTTCGTGCTTATTTGCAGGCAGCCGCAGGTCCAGGAACAGAAGGAGAGGCCAACTTCTGGTGAAAAACCCCAAGGCTACAACTTTGGAGTTTGAGTCAGACTTTGATTTTGAAACGGCAAATGCTCAGTTTAAAGATGATCTTACGAAGGAGGTTGTGGGTACGTTTGCCTTAAAGATCACTTCACTTAGACTTGAGTATAAAAGTTTAGGTGTGCAAACAAATGGCTGTTTTTTGCTTTGCTGCAGTGGAGAAAGTTGATTCTGGGGAGACCCAGGACAGCCCGGGTATACAGGAGGAGGAAACTCTGGGAGAGAAGTACTACGACAAGACCAAATGCTTCTTTGATAACATCTCATCAGATCTGAAACCCAGGTGGTTATGGTAGCTTTTGCTGTTTGTCATGCCTCAGAGTTTTGTCAAGCTCTGCAACATATTCAGTTTTTATTTTTTTGCTCTCAGGAGAACTACCTGGGCGGAGGAGAAAAAGTTGAACATTGAAACGTTTGGCGTGCCTGGTCGCTTCCTGAGAGGCAGAGGATTCAGAGGCCGTGGGCGCAAAGGACAGAGCACCACCGAGCAGCGAGCACTCCCAAAAGTTGGCAGCGGGAGAGTGTAAAGGCTTTTCTTTTTTGTTAATGCTACTGTAAATATTGTAGTTTTCTACTTATTTAAAAAGTACCTCCCTGTTCTCCCCCATTTTGAAGCACTTTAAGTGGTATGTTTTTGTTTTTTTTTTCTTTATCCCAAATGTGCATTTAGGGAATCTTGTACTTTGGATCCTTTATATGAAATGGGAGAGCAATTTCTTTTAAAGCCAGCAGCTGTGCACTTAAAGCAAATGTATTCATCGTTAGCTTGGAAGCATGCAATGTGGAATTTGTCTTTTGAAAAGACCAGCAGGCATGTCTTTTTTTTCTTTTCTTTTTTTTTTTCTAAATGTCTGAATGTATTAACTTATGACTGTCTGATTGCACAAATGTGACTCCAAAGAGGTCTTGAAAGGCCATCTTCTCAAAATTGACAGACAGAAGTACTTTGTTTTGTTTTTTTCTCCCTATTTGTAAAATGAAAACTATGGAGAAACATGTGTAACAGTTGCTATTAAATAACATGATAAAACACACTGGCTCTCCTCTCTGGATCTGTAAAATCCAACTGGAACACTGTTAACTGAGCTTTATTAATTCACCTAAAGAAAAGAAATCCCACAATTTAAAATTAGTTTCTTCATACATGGAACGCACAGAAAAGAATCTGTTCAGTTTTGTGTTTTTGGCGGCTGGCAAATGGAAGCCAGTTGGTTGAAACTTGGGCCCAGATCTTTCAGTGCTTTCTGAAACGAATCGTCGTCAGGAATGGGAATCTTCTCCAGATCCGGGACGCTGTCGGAGTCTCCCTCCTCTGCATAGAGGTGAGGCTCATAGTCCAGTAAATCATTTTCCGTCTCCTGGAGAGAGGAGAGTTTCTGTAGATGGAGGGCAACTGTAAGTACAGTGTTTATTTTAACATTTTCATGTTTATTTACAGTGTAGCAGAGTAGACATGATGGAACACTACCAACCGAGTGAAGCAGGTTGAGGATGGTTGTATCCATGATACAGCTGAAGCTCCTTTTGTGGAGGTAATCCATCGTGCTCATGCCTTCAGACTGTACATAAACAAAAGTTCACACAAAGATCAAGTTTCTTCCGTCATGTCAAACTAAGAAACCCAAACCTGTCCACTGCTGTACTACCTGGTAGGTGTGGTTGTGGTTGTGGCCATTCGCAACTAGAGAATTCCAGGCCATCTGAGACTAGACGAAAGAGGGATTGAAACAGAAGATGAGCAAAAATAAAGAATATTTGAACATCCACTTGTGATATGAGTCTTTATATCACCTGGTCCTGAGTGCTGCTGAATAGGTAGGAAACATCTTCTCTCCTGTAATTCTCAAAGTGTTTGTAGGCAAAGCCTTGCTCCACATTATTCTGTGGAGTTGAATGACAAGAACAGCAGCTGATTTAAAGGGCAATCCGTTCACACATTATGAATGACAGTCTTCTTTTTCTCCAAAGGGTGCTTTCACTCATGTATGCAGCAGAAGACTGACCTTTTTTACATTTCCATCCATGCCCACCTTTGATGAAAATGTAATGTTTTCCCTCCCATCATGCTGACTTTGCCACATGGCTGCATTGTGTTGTTTCTTCTCAGCCGGCACTATGAGGACACCGTCCGGCACCTTTTAAAAGAAAAAGAAATGCTCACTGATATTTGCATTGAAGCCAGTCACGGATTTTGTTTGCAAATGTCTCTCTGGGTCGACCTTGCAGTCAGTTCCTGGTTTCTCAGTGTTTGACTTGAGGAGTGTATCATTGGAGCAATCATCGGGCGGCAAAGTTTGGAACTTTGTTTTGCAGGAGATGAAGACCGCCATCAGCAGCATAACTGTGAGATGACAAAACAACTTAGAGTGAGTTAACAGGGCTGTAAAAATACATATCACAGTGTGCTTTAATACTAAACAAAAGGCTGCGGTTTCATTCCTTACATAAAAGTAAAAACAGTGAGCCGAACACTACGCCTAAAGCACCAGAGGCAGCTCCTCCTGCAGTGGCTCGGCGGCTTCGGCAGTTCTGTGTCACGGTGCAGTCGCACACAGTCACGCTGAGGTTGTAAACACCAAACTGTCCCTGCATGTCCGAGATCTTCACATTGACTGTGTGCGGACCAGCGTACACACTGGACTCCTTCACCAGGCCGGCTGTGAAACCTGTGAGAAACAATGAAATGGTTTAAATAGAAAATGAAGCAGTTGTGTTGCTCTGTAATGTTTGATCCCATATCATAGCTGTTTCCAACCGTATGCAGGATTGAGTTTCCATTTTCCGTTGACATTCCCCAGCAGCTCAAACGTGAAAGGCCCCCCAAAGGGATTTCCGTCAGGGTCAAAGGCTGTGATGTTGGTGGTCGTGGGGCTGTCAGACATACAGACATCCACGAAGTCTACTGTCGGCTGTGGCACGTTGTCATTCTGGTCAGCCACGTGGATCTGCAGTGTGGCTGTGCCTGTCTGAGGTGGCTCACCTGTCCAAGATTTAGTAACAATAGGGTCACAAAGCAGTTTCTTTAGATGTATTTTTTTCATATGCAGAGTGTGTGTTTACCATCATCCACTGCATGCAGTAAGATGGTGTAGAGTCCGTCAACAACATGAGGAGATTCTCTGTCAGGTGGCTTCACGGTAGTGATGTCACCTGTGTGTGGATCCACTGTCACCCAGCCGGCAGGATCATGTCCTACCTTGTAACTGTGGACAAACACAATGCACTTTGATATAGAAGGGGCCATATTAAAACTCACACATGTTAAATTAACCCTCCAAATTCCAAAACGAGGTTTGAAATAGCATATTATCTTTTGAAAATTGCTAATGTTAGTGTTTGTCAGAGTAAGAACCTACAAAAATGCAAGGAATTGCCCATCCTACATATGTTAAAGTCATGGTGATTAAACTGATCATGTATGATATGTGGCTTTGTTGGGAAAATGAAGCAAATCTAAATGAAAAGTTAAATATTTCACCGTACATGTCTATAAACTGGGACAACAAAGAAGAAACAAATTAGAAAGACTGAGAAGAAAATTAAAACATACTGGATCAATAAAACTAATGCAGCATTGCTAAAAAAAAAAAAATGGTATGCATCAGCAAGTTGTTGGAAGATACATTCAGCATGGTGAAATATTTAGAGTTGATGCGCTGAGTAGAGAGAAAAATGTACAGTTGATAGAATTTGTAAAAGTATAAACAGTTTAATATGTGCAGAATGTAAATGTCACCTTTGTTTTTCAAATATTACTTATATGGGCACTTGAAAAAACATTGTATGTATTTATTCTAGGTTTTTGTTGTTATTGGGTTTTTTTTTAAATAAAAAATAAATAATCAGTAAAATTCAGCTTTAGTTTTTTCTTCTTTTTCAAAATCCTTTATGGCATTATAACTTGAATTCTCTCTACCTCTAGACATGGTTGTGCTGTTTCCATTGTCATGCAGGATTTTGTACTGCAGTGCAAAATGAGCTCAATAAAATGTGACAGGAGCAAAAACCTTACAGGGAAACACTTGGAGCTTAAAGGGTTAAGCATCTCACTTACACAAAATCTCGTGCATGGCTGGAGTCTGGATCCACAGCGGTCACTTTCTCAACCCAGGTTCCAACGGCTGCGTTCTCCTCCAGCACGGCCTCCTTGACTGCCACGCTGAACACTGGGGGGTCATTGGCATCCTCCACTTCGATGGTGACTTTAACAGAATGAGGCTGAACAGCACCATCATCGCCTTTAGTGGTTTCAACAGTCCAGAGGCCCGAGGACGGCTTGTCTTTCACTTTACAGGAGAAATATGGCGCCTCGTTCTCCACTGAGATTGACAGCTCTCTCTGTGCACCTGCCTCGAAGTCTAAAGCCTGAAATCATACGGGAGTATGAGTAGTTAGAGAACAGAGGTTAAAAACATTAACCTCAAGACCAAGCATGACAAACATGGGTGCAGGAATTAACCTACATAGAACACAGAAGTGGGTGTCACTGTAATGTAAAGCATGCAGTCAAACACCTCTTACTTTTACTACCGTCAGGATTCCATCATTGGTGTCTGGGTCAGTTTCTACCCTGAAGTGCTCTCCTTCATCTCCATGTATGGTGTATTTGGCCTTCCACGCCCGGCTGTTGGGGCTGTCTTTGTCAGTCACATGCAGCCGCAGAGGAGACGATCCAACCTCATGCTCTGTCACTTTGCTGGAGCCCTGTTGTTTGAATCCAAGGTGCATAGATTTTTTTTTAAAAAGTAAAAGAAATCTGCACAAGAGCCTTCTTACACTCCCTACATGTGCTTTCAGTTTTTCCATCATACTGTTTATTCAAAGAGCTGATATGACTTATTTAAAGTGTGAAACTTGCTGCATAAACACAGGCACAGTGTTGCTTTTTATCAGACGGCTGCCTACTGTTTGACCGCTGATGATGGGAAGGTGGTTGTTGCCGTCCTGGACATGAATGACCACAGTGGTTGAACTGGACAGGCGGATGACTTCACCGTGGTCTTTGGCCTCCACCAGTATTGTAAACATCTCAGTCACCTAAACACATGCAAATTAAGATTGTTATATTAACAGATTAAAAGAATAATGCACCGCTAAACATGTATCCCATCCGTTTGCCTGATTATTCTGCACAAAGTATACTTCTAAATTAGTTTTTAATGTTGCAGGTATACTCACTCCTTGTTTATTTTAGAGAAATCTATTTTATAATTACTGCAACAGATCTATTTTCACTGACACTGTTTGGCTAATCTCTAAAATCACAGTGCAGCTTGGTCATGTACTGTTATAGTCAGAGTAGAAAGAAGCATTTAGATCTTGTACTTCAGTGGAAGTGCGAATACCACAATGCAAAATACTCTAAATTACAAAAATATTGCATCAAAATATATTTAAAGACCAAAGTAAAGGTACTCATTATGTAGAATGGCTCATTTCACAACAATGTACATTAATGGATTATTATTATCACTTTGTTGTCGAAGGTGATGTAATGACTTTATATAGTTTATTTGTTGTGTAGCTTGTAAATTTACCTTCAGGGATCAATTAAGTTTTTCCTTATCTATAAAATGACATCATAATTTATTCGTAAATCATATTTTGTATTGTTAACCTAAATCTACAAAGTAACTAGTTTCTACATTTATCAAGTGAATGTAGTGCAGTTTAAGGGGACTCATAACTGTACCCAAATACAAGACTTGAGTAAATGTATTCAATGACTTGCCATCACTGGAAATAGCTCTATTAAAAATACTTTGCATGCAGTCAAGCAGCATTTAAAGAGTACATACTTTCCATACTTGTATAAATACAACATCATGTATTATGTTCTATTATCAGGTCAAGATCTACATTTAGAAACTCAGTTAATTTACTTCAAAATACTGACAGTGTAATTCTGTGAACATTAAATTCTGTATTTTACTGTTAACTTCTGGTGGTGTAATGACTCCGACTTAATAAAATAAAACAACATTTTACAGCATCAGTTTCTTAGACTAAAGAGAGCAATATTCTGTGGGACGTATTTGTGACATTGCATTTTTGGGTCACAAAGAAATGTAATGAGCCCACACATGTCAATCATCTCATATCTAATTAGCTCCAATTAGCTAATTAGATTCTAATTAGCTGCCAAGTTGTTTTGCTTTATTGCTTTTTGCAACATTATTGTTCTATCTTTATATTCTGAGAAGTTTTTTTTTTTAGGTTTGTTTTGTATTTTTAACCAAATCTTGTGTTTTTGACTCTTTTGGTAAAACAGTTTTCTCACAGAAAGTTTTATGAAATTCATGTTGTTCAAAAAGTTTAAGTGAAAACAACTTTTTCAGGATTAAAACTTGTGATATTAGAATGTTTACAGTAACTTATTTAAGGTTTCGGGGGGCATTTAATGTGTGAGACTGTAAAGTGGAGCTGGACTATTAGACCCTATTCTCCAAAATTACAGAGTGAGTTTCATTCTGCTTTAAGAGTAACAGTTAAATAACATTCCTTTTGCCAAACTCTGAACACACATGTTTTTTTTCATGTAGGGCCCTGCAATTACACCTCAGGCTGGATGAAGCAACGTCGTGTTAAAACGTGCAGGAATGGATGACAACCTACGCGTCTTCCATCTGCTAAAAGAAATGAACCGCCCTGAAATGCCACCGTTGTTCCATCTTTACAAAGTACTGTAGCCTGCATCAGATGTAATTCTGATATATTTGCATAAAAGTCTCTTGCCTCATGATCCAAACATCCTTTAAATGAGATTCCTCCGAACTCATCAATGAAGAATTTTGTGTCTGGAACGTTTGGAGACACAGATTTGATTTCATAGTGGAAAGTTGAGTTTGGCGATCCACTCTTGTCCCTGTCGTGAGCGAACACAGTCAAGACATTGGAGCCTGTTTGGAAACAAGAAAGACGTTTAATTAAAACGCAATGTTTAAATCGTAGGACGAAAATAGAGCAACATTCTTTACCTTGTGTGCTCTCCTCACCAACGCTGTGTTCATACAGATCCCTCTGAAACAGCGGTGGGTTGTCGTTGATGTCCCGTATGTAAATCTCAATTCCTAATCTGGTGTCAATTGATAAATCTGTCTTTTTGGCCTGAAATCGCAGCTACAGAGCAAAAAAAAATAGTCAAAGTTAGTGACAATGTGAAGGAATAGTAGGATTAAATTGTTGGATATTGTGAATTTAATGAAAGCAACAACTGTTCAACCGGTTTTCAATTTTTCACATCACAGAACAGTAATAATCCACATAGCCAGTTTGCATTCAGACAAATTCTCTTCCGACATACTGACAAAAACGTGTGACCTATAACAAAATGTAAGCAATTCACACGCTTTTTTTTAAAAAGTCACACTCATGATAACGCAGAAACCAACCCATCTTCCAGGGTAAAGTATTCGGAGCAACAAGCCTGAAGACATTCCAGTGTGCTTACTGTGCAAAAGCAGTAAAGGTGGCGCCTGTAATTCAGTTATAATGTGTAAGATTTTACTGTCACTGTCACTCCCACTGCCCCATTTTCTTCCATCTCCCTTTGTCCTCCATCGAACCTCCCTCCCCGTAAGCCACTCTGTATTTTTCCCAGCTCTTTGCATGGATGCCGACCTTCTTTAAGCTCACACACTAAACAGACCATGACCATAAACAGGCCATTCACTAAATTAGTTCTCTGAAAAATGTACCGATCAGAATTGCATACTCCACCTTTAAGTCAGCATCACTAACCACTGTAAACACAGATTTCTCTTCCCAAATCAGTGAGCAGAATTCCACAGCAGTATTACAAAGTGTTTGGCATTACCTTCAGCAGCGTTCTCTCCTCGTAGTCCACAGCTTTGTGGACGAACAGTTCACCAGAGTCTTTATGAATGGAGAGGACTCCCATCGGCTCCTCGTCTACTCCTTCTCCGAACAGCTCAAAGAATGTCTGATATTCCCGCTCAATTTGTATCTACAACAAAAGTTTATGCATTTTGCAGTCAGAGTTTGGGAGCCTGAGATGATCATCTATGAGTGATTAATGCACACTGTGACAAATGTATAAGCTGCACTTGAATAAAGGAGAAAATAATTGCAGGTGTCAACGTAAAGCTCAGTATCAAGACAGCTTATGAAAGAATTGATCATCTGAAGATCTTTAATAATATCTGGTAACTTTATTAAGGTCTGTCAGTGTATGAAATTTGGGATTTTGACCAGTTCTCTTTGGTTTTCTCACCTTGCCCAGCGCATAAGGGAAAGGCCCCTGGTTCTCCTCTTCAATCTCAAAGGAGTCAATTATCCAAGTTCTTCTGTGACGGCTCAGCACCTCTGAGCTCATTGCACTTGACAAATAATAACACTGAAAGACAAACAGTCAGGCACACCTGAAGTGCACAGTCTTTACAATGAATGTCGCATTGTGCAAAGTAGGTATTTGGTTTGCGGCCATAGGCAGGACTTTGTGTCACCTGTACTCTGGGGGAAAAACGAAAATGAAGAAGACGCATTGTTGCACAGTTGGTGAACCAGTTTCTATGAAATGTAAACACAGACATTTCTACGGGAACAGGTGTATCAAATTGTGATAAGAGGACATTAGCTGTTGTCAAAATAGTTTGAGGTTTTTCGTAGCTAATAATCAAAACCATCCAACCTATTTTGCACAATGTAAGACAAATAATTTGCCTCTCTTCTTTAAACTATAGGAAAAAGAGATTATTGTTTAAAGTTTAATCAGAAATCATCATATATAAAAGTCATTTTAAAGCAAATGCAAAAAGAGTGAATAAAGTAAGCGTGGCTACATACCAGGAGGAAGAAGCAGAACATGATGCTTGTTCAGTACATCCAGTTCAGAGTGTGTGAGGACAGACTTTTTCAAGACCGACGAGACCCTCCCCTCTCTTGTCCACACCCACTCGCATGAACATAATAATCACAGGTTGCATTGTACATGTGTCTGTTCGGCCAACGTTTAATTTACACCTCTCAACACAGTGTGCTCATGACGTTCTCTTTACAGGTGAACAAAGCAGTGGTATGGCTTTTTGATGCATTGCTTTATAGTGACTGACTCACAAAGTATTTGTTCTCTCTTGCAAAAAGATTGACAGGTAGATAATATCTTTTCAGTATTTGATTCTTCTGATTTAACCAACATTATAAGGACTTGAGATTGTTTGTGGCTTTTTTTTTTTTCATTTTGAGGCTGACTGTGTGGATTCTGGTTGTTTTAATTGCTGCCTGGAAGCAGCTAAGCACTTGTTTACATTCATCATAGAAGTCTGAAATAACCAGGAAATGTTTTGTCGATTCTTCTGGAACACACACAGAAACATCTGATCTTTTTCTTTATTGTCAAAGTAAAGGAAAAAAAAGCCAAAATCAGGGCTAGAAAACTGAGAATTTGTTGCTTTAAAAAAAAACAATACATTTAATAATCATAAAACCATCCTTCACCAAATTTAGCTCAAGTGTTTGTCTATTTGTTTGTGTTTGAGTTATTGCTTTACTGTCCTGGGTGCTGTTAGTACTGTACAAAATCATCTTTTCATCAGCTACAAATCCTGTGAGCAAAAAAAAAAAAGGGGAACAAATCTTGTCCTTCAAAACATGCCAAAACAGGAATCGAGAATTGAAAGGAATTCTCCGTATATACACTTTACGGCCCCACACACGGCCTACAATTCATAAATCAAAAGGAGACGTGGAGAGCAGTAAAAAAAAAAGCCCATTTGTGGAAGTCTTTCGGTAACTCTCCGCCCAGAGTCCCCTCTTCACCCCAGACTGATGGTGGAGAAGGTGCATCCTATGAAGACGGAGGTGGATTCTGAGCCTTCACCTCCTCTCTCTCCGGAGACACGACTCTCCGCTTCACTGTGCTGGTTTGTGTTTCCTCGTCGTCCGAGCCGACCACGGGGGTGTCGTCTCCCCCGTTGGCGTTGGTGGTCTGGCTGTCGGAGGAGGAATTCGAAGATGTGGACGATATGCGGGACTTGGCGTCAAGGCTCTCAAGGACATGTCGAAAGAGTCCGTTACTGATGGCTTCCTCGTTGTTGTTGTTGTTTCCTTGAACTGTAAGTCAGACAAAAACGTTGTAAGAGATGCAGTTGTGTTGTTGCATCTGTTGTGACCTGTGTTCTACTGTTTTTCATACCTGGCAGTGGGGAGGTCAGAACTCCTTCTTCTCCCACAGAGCTGAAGAAAACATCCAAACCCTCCTGGTCAGAGATGTCGATCAGCTCCATCTGGTCCAGCAGGTCCACATTCACCTCCATCGAAGAGATGCTGCCAATAGGAGCTGAAAAGAGAAGCAAAGCAATGACCTCATGCGTTTTGTGTATGAACGTGTTCACAGAAATTCAGCCAGTCCTACTCACGTCTCTTGTAGTCTCTGATGCAAAGGTGTGCTGAGGATAAGTAGACGTCCACATCATGCTGGAAGACCTCCTCAAAGAAACGCTGTCTCTCCCTCAGCTTGAGCTGCTGCGCTGTGTCCACATCTGGCAGCCTCTGGCCACGCTCGGTCTCCGCTGGCAACAAAATGAAAAGGGAGTTAGAGACCAGCTCAGCTCCCTTGTAGAATCAGAATCAGGCACAGAATCAGAATCAGAATCAGGGGATCAGGATCAGGAATCGGAATTGGAATCGGAATCGGAATTGGAATTGGAATTGGAATCGGAATCGGAATCGGAATCGGAATCGGAATCAGGATTGGAATCGGAATCGGAATCGGAACCGGAATTGGAATCAGAATCAGAATCAGAGTGAGAATCAACTTTATTGGCCAAGTTTGTACATGTAAACAAGGAATCTGACTCTGATGAATCTTAGCTCTCTGTATAAGAAATAAAAGAAACAAACTAGAGCAATGAAATAAGTGTAAGAACAAGACGCTAGACCTTTATACCTGATACAGAACCTGATACCTGATATATTCTTACTGCACAAGCTGTATGGGGCCCTGCAAAATACATAATTTTGGACTTAGAGTGTGGAACGTTTGTCTCCCCCCTTTGTCAGTGAGAGAAATTACACAAAAACTGTTGATGCCTGTTTATGGCATATTTCATTGTCATCCATCTCTTTCATTTTTGGACTGTGATCATCCCTCTGAATGCATAAAATTATTTTTATCTGGAGAATCTGCTTTTTTCATTCTCTAGCTTAAAAATAAGTCTGTGTAAGATTAGAAAATGGGTGGATTGACATTGAATTCTGATTAAATATTGAATTGAAAGTGTGCATTATCTGGGAATACTGGGCAAAATTTAAAACATGAACTTTGAGCGTTGTTGTTTTCGCAGACTGACAGATGAAACAAATACATTTTTGAAGGACTAGTGAGAGCACTGGGGTGACAGGTGTGACTCTACAGCGGTTGCAAAGGCTGTAAATCGGTCACAGTTCAGCTATGAGGGCATGTTTTGCTTATGTCTGCAGGGCCTTCTAACCTGTTGTCTGAAGTTTAAAGGCCACAGGGCAGTCAAGGCTGTAAACATCAAGCAGGGGTATTTTTTTTCCCCACAAACTAGTATTTCCACTCTGGAGGTCAGTGAGATCATCTGATGTTGTGAAGCTTGAGATCCACTTGAAAGGGGTTAAACACTGATAACCAGAAGAGGGAGACATTGAGCTTTAAGATGTATGAAGAGGTGGATTTTGTTTCGAAGCTGTGAAGCCACATAGCAAGAAAACATCTATTAAAGTAAATTCCATGAGTCGCAAAGATGCTGTCGACATTGTTAATGAATGTATCTGTTTCATACCTGTGGATTCAAAGTTACTAATCCACAGACTGTTTGCTTTATTTAGAACAAAACTGTCCAAACCAACACACTGTAGCACCCTGAACTCTTACTAAATCGGTGCACATCTGAACGTTGCGCTGCAGAGGGGAGCCTTATTAACTTAATCTTGTTTGAGATACCATGCGATCCCATTTTCCCCCTCATCAGCACCGCTGTAATAAAGCTGAGTGCGACTCCAATGTGAGCAAGTGGAGGTTTGAACTGTAGCAAGAGAGCGACTGTAAAGGGACCGAGGCGAGGAGAGGAGGGGGAATGCTGTAAATAAGCAGAGCCTGTGACTGCCAAGGAAGTCGCACTTGAAATGTGGCTGAAGAGACAATCTGGGGTCTCTCAGCAGTTCTTACATTACTGAAAATCAGAAAATATGCAAACACAGATGCAATTAATTCGATATTTTGACTTGAACTAAATCAAGAAATGAGCTTTGGACGAGATGATTGATGCTAAACATGCAGCAAAAAGCAAGTTTAGCCTGAAATTATCCAGGTAACAGACACATATGAGATTGTTCCTCTCTGTTCTTCTCATCTCACCTTCAGCAAGAAATCAAACTTGGTTCAAATTCAGATTTTCAGAGAAGATATGGTGCGTATTTCAGCACATAGTCCTAGTATGCACTCTCAAGTGATACAGTTTCTCCCTCCAGCTAGAATCCATATGCTGCTCAGTCATTAGAGCAGTGTCTGAGTTATTACTACCTGCAGGCACGGACTGAGCTAATTGGATGAGGCTTTTAAGGCATGTCTAAACTGGGAATAATGTGAAGATTATCTGGCCTGTGGTAAGAGCAGCAGTCACAGCCGCTCTATAAATAGACCAGTGATCGGTAGAGAATAAAAAAGGCCTTGCAGCTCATGACGATTACCTGAATCACCAAAGTAAAATCTCTGTTGTCTCTGGTAGCACGAGGAGACAACCTTCATCATGAACTCTCTTCATTTGTCTCATAATGAAATCTAAAAACTTAATAACTGCTGCAAAATCTGCCATCGCTGTGGAGGGAAAAACTGCAGAGCTGGCCTGAAAGCAGCAACAGGTCGCCTTTGCCGGAGTGACACATCAGCGCAGCGCTCGCCACGAGCCATGTCCGTGGCCTGTCACTGCAGCTCCCCTCTGCCCTGTTTGACAGCCTGCCTCCGGGGCACAGGATCAGAAGGCAGACGGCTTTAGAGGGAGCAGAGGAAGAGGACAATCTGAACCCCGGGATCCTGCTGACTCACCTGTGTTCATACGTGTGTGTCCACAGAACCCAGATATATAGACAGGATTCCCAACAGACTGAAAATCTACATGCTAACTTACAGTAAAGCATCATGATTTGACAATATCTGCATTGACACAGAGATAATACTGCTGTGGATGGAGTTACAGAACTGAGAAAGTGAATGAGTCAAAACATCACTGTTATGGTATATTTTCTTACATTTATCTTTTCATACCTACTTTGTTAGATTCTTCACATTTCGTATATATGCCTTATTAGGTCTATTTAGCACTGCACAGCCTTGTTCAACATACATCTGTTTGCAACACTATGTTTATTTCAGGGGCAATATCAGCATCAGTTCTACTCCATGTTTTTATTTTAGTTTCAGAGAGAGCAGTGCTATTTAGATCCAGATCATAGCTGTCCAAGTCCAAACGGAGATAACCATAAAGACTGTTCTTTCCTTGGACTTTGGAAAGTCCTTTTCAAGTCTAACAGAACTCCTCAAACAGAAAAGATTGGTGTTCAGTCCAGCACTTCAGCATTGGATTTCTTATGTTAGGTTTAGGGTTGCATAAAACCTGCACCCTGGAACTGGAGCATCTAAATCAAATGTGGTCTGTTGAATATCATAGTTACATTTAAACTATTCCAACTAGCTAAAAATCAGAATTCTCGCGGGACAGTTGTTTCTGATATAGACTTTATCGTGTAAAATCAGTTCACTTCCAGCTAGTTTCCATCACCTCTTTACCAGAGACAGAAGGCAGGCATCACTACCTGCAGGAGGGGATGTTAGCAATCATGATTATGCAATGAAGGAGCGTGACAGTTGTTCAGTGCGACATGTGTAGGTACGACTGTCCTTTTCTGCAGCCTTACAAATGAAAAGTGACACCCAGAGGTGACCAGTGTGTTTTTGTTTTTTTTTACAGACTGTCTTGCGTGCATCATTTTGATAGTATTTTGTCTTTCCAGCATTTCTGTCTTTGTCTGGATGCCTGAGGTTGCCAGTCTGTGATGCTCACTTCTCATCACACTGTTACACAACCGCCAACGTTACTGTCTTCAGAGCCTAAAGGAAGCGAAGGGAGCAGCGCTGACAAAGCAAAACGTCAGTCACAATCAGGAGCTGCCAGCTTGACGTGTGCGTAGATGAAAGCTAGTTTAATGTGACCAGTAAGGACATCATGTCAGACAAAACACTGCATTTGTATTGGATGGGTGACTGTCCTTTCTGTTCTTTTAAAAAAGGAGCATAGGCAGCAGTTGAATAGCAAGTTCATACTGGAATAAAACGATGCTTTTAATAACAGGCTACAGGTTGAGGGACATTTCTTCTCCTGGATTTTTTTTTTCCCTCCTCAGTTAACCACTGATTGATCACAGCATTGATTGTTTCTACTTACAGGCCGAGGCCCCGTGGAGAGCTAAAGGTTAGCTACAGATGTATAGCCTCGCATTGATTTTGCCTCCCTATCCAGTTCTTTTTTTTCCATCGGATCACCTTGATCGATACGGCTTCCCTAGCCGCAGACGACCCCTGCGACCTCTGATTAGTACAACTGCTCACACGGGAAAATCCTCAGTCTAAAGGAGAGCTTGGACACAGCATCCACTGCTGATGAGATTACATGTCCGGTCCACAACGCAAACCCTTTAGTTTCATTCCACAACACGTCTGAAGGGCCTTTCTGGTGTACAGCGAGGGAGGGATGTGAGAAGACGGAAGCAAAAACAACCTGCAGGCATCAGTTTGACCTGATATGCTCTCATTCAGTCTTTATTTCTTTGTGTTTTTTCTGCCCTGTTTTAATCACTTATTGCCCCTCGTTCTGTCTCTATGCTTGGCCTTTTGCTTTTCTTTCTTTCTTTAGTGTCTTTCTTTCTTTTGTTTTTTTTATTGTCTTTCTTTTTTTAGTATCTTTATTTCTTCTTTCTTTTTTATTGTCTTTCTTTTTTTAGTATCTTTATTTCTTCTTTCTTTTTTCTTTCTGTCTGTTTTTAGTTCTTTCTTTTGTGTCACTTTCTTTCTTTCTTTCTTTCTTTCTTTCTTTCTTTCTTTCTTTCGTTCTCCCCCTCCTTCCTTCCTTCCTTCCTTCCTTCCTTCCTTCCCTCCTTCCTTCCTCTGGGACTTGAGGAAGAGAAGGTCACAGATCAGGGCTCAGAACCAGCTGGACATGCAGAATGACTGGAACAGACAGAAAGATAGAGGCAGACAGAGCAGACCGGACATGTCAGCGTGCCACTCAGCCTCCCCACATAAAGACAAACCCAGATCCTCCGCTCAGGCGGCACTGAGAGAAAGAGTCCATTCAGAGCCAGACAAAAGCAGAGATGTGAGGGAACGGGACTGGCCTGCACTCCTTAGACGCGATGCCAGTTACAGGAAATCGTTTCTGTTTTAGTGGAACGTGAATACACCTAATCTAAGATTCTAATTTGTTCCACGAAGCTAATTTAGCTTCAAAAAACGATGAAAAACTGTCATCAGGGATGATTCAAGATATGGACA